AAAAAAAAAAAAAAAAAAGACCCCAAAAGCTAAATGGGTACAGAATAATGTATCCATCTGTATGGGAAAAGCAAAGCTAAGGATTAAGTCATCCAATGGTAAAATTTCTCTTTCCAAATACTTAATCACATGCCAGAGTATATCATCAAATTATAATACCTCCTGATATGGTTTGGCTGTGTCCCTATCCAAATCTCATCATGAACTGTAGCTCCTGTAATTCCCATGTGTCATGGGAGGGACCCAGTGGGAGGCAGCTGAGTCACGGGGACAGGTCTTTCCCAAGCTGTTCTCATGATAGTAAGTAAGTCTCATTAGATCTGATGGCTTTATAAATGGGAGTTCCCCTGCACATGCTCTCTTGTCTGCCGACATGTAAGACATGACTTTGCTTCTTTGCCTTCTGATTGTGAGGCCTCCCCAGCCATGTGGAACTGTGAGTCCATTAAGCCTCTTTCCTTTATAAATTATCCAGTCTTGGGTATGTCTTTATTAGCAGCATGAGAATAGACTAATACACATCCTATAGGATGAACTTGCTAAATACATACATTTTGAATATTATTTGGCCCCATATTTAAGAATAATGTTAATGCTATTAAACCAAATGGGGCTGGGTGAGGTGGCTCACGCCTGTAATCCCAGCACTTTGGGAGGCAGAGGTGGGTGAATCATTTGAGGTCAGGAGTTCAAGACCAGCCTGGCCAACATGGTGAAACCCTGCCTCTACTAAAAATACAAAAATTAGCCGGGCATGGTGGTGGGTGCCTGTAATCCCAGCTACTCAGGAGGCTGAGGCAGGAGAATTGCTTGAACCTGGGAGGCGGAGGTTGCAGTGAGCCAAAATTGTACCACTGCACTCTAGCCTGGGTGACAGAGCGAGACTCTGTCTCAGAAAAAAAAAAAAAAAAAGCCTAAATGGTAATTCCAGATTACAAGTACCCATATACCTTAAAATGTCAGAATTCTGTATAAAATTATTTTTAAAATTTAAGGAATTTCCAATTAATATATTATCTATGAATCTACCCAGAAATAGTTTTATTTTATTTTCATTTTTATTTTTCCTGATTGCTCTTACAATACAGAAACAGTTTTAAACTGAAGTCTATAACTCATTCAATTTCTTTCTCTTTCTTTTTTGTTTTTGAGATAGGGTCTCACTCTGTTGCCCAGGATAGAGTAAAGTAGCATGATCTTGGCTCACTGCAGCCTCTACCTCCTGAGCTCAAGTGATCCTCCTACCTCAGCCTCCTGAGTAGCTGGGACTACACTGTGCCCAACTATTTTTTTTTTTTTTTTTTTTTGTAGAGACAGGGTTTCACCACCTGGTCTAGATGCCCAGGCTGGTCTAGAACTCCTGAGCTCAAGCACTCCACCTGCCTTAACCTCCCAAAGAGCTGGGATTATGGGCCTGAGTCACCCATACCCAGCCAAACTCACTCAACTTCAAAGGATCATAAATAAAAATGACTTCTCCTCCAGTTCTTAAACAAGGTCTGGGATCAATTTGATTCTCTCTGATATATTCAGGGGAAAGTTGGTTCAGCTTTGTTCACAACAGCCATTGCTGAGAATGAAATAACACAAATCTACTTTGAGAATCAGGAAAACACTGTATGTGCTGAATAAACCTCTATAATTCCAAAGTAAATTTCTTCTTTTTTCTTTTTTGAGATGGATTCTCACTCTGTCACCCAGGCTGGAATACAGTGGTACAATCTTGGCTCACTGCAACCTCAGCCTCGCAGGTTCAAGTGATCCTCTTGCCTCAGCCTTCTGAATAGCTGGGATTACAGGTGCCCACAACCATGCCCGGCTAATTTTTATGTTTTTAGTAGAGACAGGTTTTACCATGTTGGCCCAGCTGGTCTTGAATTCCTGACCTCAGGTGATCTGCCCACCTCAGCCTCCCAAATTGCTGGGATTATAGGTGTGAGCCACTGCTCCCGACCCCAAAATAAATCTCTAAAAACTTAAAAGTTATTTCTTTCCAATCAATAATATAATATCACTTTAAATTACAGCATTTCCACATACATACTAATATAGGATTTTATTTTTTTTAAAAAGCAGTCATATCTTTATTTCACCAATGAAGAAAGAATTCTTCTAGAATGTTTACAGGTATTTCAAAAAGCAATAGTTGACATGTTCCTCTTCTTTAAGTGGAGGAAAAAAACTATTTTATAGGGTGGTAAAAATACTATTTACAGAAGGCTTCCACAAATCCAAGAACTAAAATCTGCCAGGTGCAGTGGTTTATGCCTGTGATCCCAGCAATTTAGAAGGCCAAGTTGGGCGGATCACTTGAGGCCATGGGCTCGAGACCAGCCTGGGCAACATGGTGAAACCCTGTCTCTACTGAAAATACAAAAATTAGCTGGGCATGGTGGCACATGCCTGTAATCCCAGCTACTCAGGAGGCTGAGGGAGGAGAATCGCTCAAGCCTGGGAGGTGAAGGTTGCAGTGCGTCAGGATAGCTACATTGCAAAAACAAACAAACAAACAAACAAACAAACAAAAAAAGAACCGAAATCATGCCTACTCTGCCTCCTCTTTCACTTCCCATCTATGTGTCCTCTAGGGTGCCTCCCTTTTCTTTCATTTCTTTCTTTTTCCTTTTTTGAGACAGGGTTGCACTCTGTTGCCCAGGCTGGAATGCAGTGGCACAAACATGGCTCACTGCAGCCTCAAACTCCTGGGATCACACAATCCTCCCACCTCAGCCTCCCAATTAGCTACCAAACAGGCACATACCACTATGCCCAGCTAATTTTTTTTTTTTTTTTTTGAGACTGAGTCTGGCTCTGTTGCGCAGCCTAGAGTGCAGTGGTGCAATCTCAGCTCACTGCAACCTCCACCTCCTGGGTTCAAGTGATTCTCCTGCCTCAGTCCCCCGAGTAGCTGGGATTACAGGAGCCTGCCACCACACCTGGCTAATTTTTGCAGGTTAGTAGAGACAGGGTTGCACTATGTTGGCCAGGCTGGTCTCAAACTCCTGACCTCAGGTGCTCTGCCTGCCTCAGACTCCCAAAGTGCTGGGATTACATATGTAAGCCACCATGCCCATCCTTTACTTTCTTTCTTTTTTTTTTTTTTTAAATAGAGATGGAGTCTCACCATGTTGCCCAGGCTGATCTCCAACTCCTGAGCTCAAGCCATCCCCTCACTTTGGCCTCCCAAAGTACTAGGATTGCGGGCATGAGCCACCATGCCCAACCAGAAGATTCTATTTAGGATCGCTCTTTATGTCATATTTTTTAGAATTATATACAGAGTCACTGACAGGTTGGGAAGTAAAAGGGAACCAAGAAGAACCTCTGGAAAAACTTTCAGGGAAATAAATGAACTAATACATTATTATTTACAATTTTCAAAATGTTCATCAAATTTTCAAACATTCATAAAAATGAACTGGATGAAGGGCCTAGAGGTTCCTCACTCTGTCACAATCTTTAGGCTATTTAAACTAAATACCACAAACACTTAAACAAAAGTACTTAGAAAGAAAGATGATATATTTGCACATACTTTTCATGAATCTTCAAGACTCGGTGAACTATAGGAATTTCTCTTCCTTCTATCCTAAAAACAACAATTTCTCCCACTCTTATGGGATCTTCAACTCGGTTTGTTAGAAAGAGAAGATCTCCTCTATGAAATGCAGGTTCCATGCTGCCACTGGGAGAGAAAGAAAAATACATTAGCAAAAAGAAAGTATGAGATTAAATGTACTTTCAAAATTAGATATTCAACAAAATTTTAAAATACCACTTTTGGAGTATACTCAATATCTTAATAACTATATCAACATAAATATGTATTGTTCTCAAAATATGGTTTCCTGAAACTAAAGTTACACCAAAGGATTTTTTAAAAAATTATTAACCTTCACTAACTAGTTCCAATTCAAGCATTACTATTCAAAGAAGCTTAAATCTTGAAAAGGTCAGTGTTACTAATTCCTTAACCTTTTAAAATTTCAAATGACAAACAGAATATAAAAGAGAATGAACTTTAAAAATAATGCCCTTATTCTCACTTCATCTGAAAACACTAAACATATTCAAATATGCAAATAAGAACTGGATCATCTTCCTCTGCCATTTATAAAGATAACAGCCAAAAACACTAAACATATTCAAATATGCAAATAAGAAGTGGATCATTTTCCTCTGCCATTTATAAAGATAACAGCCGAGATGACCTTATAGGTTCAACTCATTTAAAAGGAAAAACAGCTCATCAAGTCAAAGAACTGTCAGCTACAGAGATAACGCTTGTATTATCAATTTACTTATTTTAAAAAGAGAAAACCAAGGAATAAGCAGAGATTTTTGCCTAAGAATTTCAGAAGCCAGGAAAAGATTTAATTTTATGGTAATAAGTGAGACTAACTTTTACAGAGTATCTTCTTACCTCTTACTTCTTCCATCCTATGCCAAGTCCTAAAAAGGTCCTAAGATATTTGCACTAATTTATAAACCCTTTTTTTCTTTTTTTTTTTTTTTTT